ACGGTTTCTCTGAAGTCTCCAAATGTTTTATGCTAATGCAGGTATTTCACAGCTCTGACACTTCTCCTCTCTCAGAGGTTTCAGCCACAGCTCGATCTCAAGCGAGTGGCCCTTCAGCAGGGATTTGGTCCTCTTCACCTGTGGCAGTTGACTCCATGTCATGTACGCAGCTCTGTAGTTCTTCACCACGATGCCCTGATCCTCCTCCGGCGGCTCGGTCGGGGAGAACTCATCGTCCTCTGTGCTCAGGCTGCTGGCGTTCAGGCCTCGCTCCTTGATCTCCTGGTAAAACCGCGGCTCTGTAAGAAGATAATGAACAACTTTCAACCCGCTGCCGCTCATATAGTATCACTTTTGAAGTTTCCGGCCTTAGAAGTTCTACAAGATTACTGAAGAAATAACAATCCATCTCACTTTACCCAAAAATCTAATTAAACTGCATTGGTAACATTTACAATAATGTATCCAATCATGTACGCAGCTCTGTAGTTCTTCACCACGATGCCCTGATCCTCCTCCGGCGGCTCGGTCGGGGAGAACTCATCGTCCTCTGTGCTCAGGCTGCTGGCGTTCAGGCCTCGCTCCTTGATCTCCTGGTAAAACCGCGGCTCTGTAAGAAGATAATGAACAACTTTCAACCCACTGCCGCTCATATAGTATCACTTTTGAAGTTTCTGGCCTTAGAAGTTCTACAAGATTACTGAAGGAATAACAATCCATCTCACTTTACCCAAAAATCTAATTAAACTGCATTGGTAACATTTACAATAAGGATCCATTTGTTAACTACATTATATTTTAAACATTTACGAATACTATAATCAAAAGTTGTAGTAGTTAATACAATTTAATGGACCTGAGCTAACATGAACTAACAATGTATTATGTTTATTTAATTTTAAATAATGATTTAATATTTAATGGATGAACTAATGTTAACTAATGGGACTTACTATAAGGTGTTACTGCTGAATGTAAAGTTTTTTGAGGTGCATACAGTTCATCAAGGCAAACTTAGAAAGTTCACAATGCTATCAGCTTGGATGGATGGATAGATGAATGGATGCTGTATATAGTACACTATCTTACGTATTTAAACAAAAAAAATTGTATACCATCTTTAAATGAGCCAGCTTGCTTCCTGTTCCTGATCCTCCCCAATGTTCTCTGCGAGGAAAAACAGCATAAATACATATGACAATGTGATTTTTTTTTCTACAGGGTGAAAAACTTTAAAAACTTAAACTTAGAATAAGAACCTTGCCTTATACACACAGGCATTGTCATGTTAGAATAGAAAAGGGTCCTGTCCAAACTGTTGCTATAAAATTAGAAGCACACATTTCCCTAGAATATCATTATATGCGTTAACATTAAACATTGTACTCATGGAAATTACTAAAGTAGTCAAACCTGATAATTAGAAGGGGGTGTCCCAATACTTGTGGCAATATAGTGTATGATTAAATGAATCGTTGCCAAATCTTACAACATGCCAGAAACATATTATTCACTGCAATCATGATCCAATCCTAAAATCTTAAGTATTATATCTAGATTATAAAATGCTTATAATAAGATCTAGATATAAATGCTTTCAAAATAAAAAAAACACTCCCACAATATATTTCACAATGTCTTATAAAATCAAAATCCTGATTGTGGATTCAACAAACTATGTTCATTCGAAAGCATCCAGGTGTGTTTAATAACAAAATAAACCCGAAAGCAAGACACTTGCCTTGCGTCCTGATTTCTGTGCTTGCTTTTGGTTGCCCGCCTTCTCTTCGCTGAGGGGTGTCAGCATTTCTGTTTGGAGTTCACTCGGCAAAGCGTCAAGATTCAGACTAGTGACGGCAGCACGATACGATTTATTCCTGCGATTTCTCCTCAGCAAAAACCCATCGCCCAAATCACTGTCATAGTCCTCCCAGGAGAGGTCTGTGGGCTGCAGGCTGACGGGAAGGGTCACCACGGTGGTGTGGTGGCGGTTTCTTGGGCGGCTGCTCACAGCCAGGTTCTTGGGGATGAGCTGGCGAGCGCCCTGCCTGCGAGCAGCTTCGCTCTGGGTGCTGAGCACTACAGTTCTCCGCTCATCCTCTGGGGAATCCACTCTGGACAGGTCGATGCTCGAGGACGAACGTCCAGACGGCTGCTCCAGCTGAAGCACCGAGCTGAAGCGGCTCTCCGGAAGAAGGAGAGACTGGTTCCCCGTGGAGCCATAGGAATTTCTGTGGGACATGGCACCTTCACCCGGTTCCCTGGTCGGCTGGAGAAAAGTGTTTGTCACTTGAAGAACCTCAGTTTGGGGTCACCAGCAGACCACAACACTAACCTGTTTCAACAGAGATGGGTGGAGTGACAGACTACTCAGCTGTAATTCTGACTGAATGTAATTTGAAACTGCAAGGGTGGAAGCCTTTTCACAGTAAAAGATCTCAACGGAAGACAAGGGCAGGTTAGGAGCACTGCAGGTGAACAGAGCTTTACAATACCTGTAAAGAAATATTCACTACCTCTTTCCACTCCATCAATGAAGCATAAGTGAAAGTTATTATGATCTAGACTTTGCTAATATAATGTAATTATCACCTGAAGATAATGAAATGAAACAAGTCCAGCTCACATTTCACTCCAAAATCAAAAGAAACCAATAGCATAAATAAAATGAAGCATACGGTTTGTTGTTGTTTTATATTGGGACACGATTTTAATTATAATGGTTAAAATAAAATACTTTTGGGATTTGTAATTCCATTATTCCCAATAGGGACTGTTATTAGATTCGCATTACTGCACAAAAAACATTGCGTTAAAAAAAACAAATCCCCCCCCCCAAAAAAATATATGTATGTTCTCTATGTTGCCAATCTGTATGCATTCTGTGTGTTGCAAGATTAAAAATAAATAAATGAATAATTAAAAAAAGGAGTGCAGACCATTTTATTTTTTTGAAATTCAAATCAGCATAAATTATTAACATCATCATAAAAACTATGCAAAATGATATATTGCGTTAAGTCATTTATTTAAATTGCCCTCTATACAACACAGATTATTTCAAAGCAGCTTCACATTAATAAACAGGAAAATAACATTTAACGTTATAAAATGTATAAATGACGAAACAATTTTAATTTTAACTGCAAAGGAGAAGACAGATTCAAGGTTCATTATTTACGAAATGAGCAAGCAGCTCTACAGGAGGCAGTTGTGTCACATTCATTATATTAACTCTCGTTTAAAAACGATTGAATAATATATTCATGTGTAAATAGCCTAACATATGAAATATAACAATTGTAATGATGAGTAATCAGAGTTGTTATGAAATAGGCAAGTATCATTTCGGTAATAGGCCTATACTACACCAACGTGTGTAATATTAGGTTGCATAACACATAATTCATTGTTCACCATTATCAAAGCATGATACTCACTGCCGCTATTAATAGCGCCTGTTATTTTTCCTGGAATCCTCTCACACCTGTTTGGAATGTCCCTTGATGACGGAAACAGGTGCACAAATCATGTTCAGTTTCGTATAATACTCATATAATTATTCAACAACAAAAAAATGGATGTAAAAGGTTCTTCACGGAACCACATATGCCAATAAAAAACTTTATTGTGACAAAACAACATTATAGTTTTCTTGACATAGCTGTTGGATAAACGACACTGCTGCGGGAATATTTTAACATATAACTGATCCTAGTCATCTGGATAAACAACTCACTGTAACTGCATTTCACTAGTTCTCAAAACAAAGAACATTTTAAGTCCGTTTAAAGGCCATACATAAATACAGGATTGACTTACCCAGCTAATATCACACGCACTGTGATTCTGAAAATGTGCAGATGCCAGATTTCTCTGCACGGATCCTGAACATATGATATATTTTAGCAGAACTTCAACGCGTTCCTGCACCTACACGGCCTCTGTATCGCTCGCGCTACGTTACTCCAGGTGAGCTCAGCCACACCCACCGGAACTTCCTCTAAATCTCACACAAAATCAGTACGTTTGTATTTCTGTACATACAAATGAGATAGCATTAGTGTGTGCACTTATGGCCAGACATAAGATGTGGGGGTGCTTTATTCATTTTATTTTTTAATATAGTGGTTTTCTGGTAGCCTACTGTAATGGTAAAATAATAATAATAATGCACATTGCGCCATCTGCTGGTAAAGTGTGTCACTACATAAGCTAAACCATTGAAGTTGATTCTTCTGATTAAGTGAGGGTAGTTTTATACTTTTATTTTTGTAGTATGATGTGAAATTAACCTTTCTCTAACCGTAAAGTTAAGCTACTGTCGATAATAAAAATAATTATATATATATATAGAGAGAGAGAGAGAGAGAGAGAGAGAGAGAGAGTATCATATATATATTGACAAACTCAATTCAGTGATATTTCAACATATTGGCATTTGTAACCTTCAGTCCTGTACTTGTGTTTATGTACCGTCAGCATAAATAAAATAAAAATAGTAAATTCTATTAATGAATGTATTAAATTAATTAAATTGCTTATTAAATGAAATATATATTCTATTATGTTATGCTAAAATATAACATGAAAAGAACAGTTTAAGCATGAGCAACTGGACTGTCACTTGATATAATGTAATATAATGTATTGGATGTGTTTTTGTGTGATGTGTATTAACTCTTTCACAGGCACAAATAGTTGTTTCGATTTTTATTACATTACCGTTGCCACTGGGAAAATGAAAGTTTACAATAGTCTGCCTATGAAAGCTAGGCTGAAAACAGAAAAAAACATGTAACTGACCCTGATATCATTGGCCAATAAGAGTGTATAAGTATTTCTAAATGGAGAATTCATTAATAATTATGAATAGAAAATGTTCTAATGGCAATGGCGTTCACATCTTTGTTTTCAGCATCATTATGGCATCTGATAAACGAAAGCAGAATGTTCCCAAACTCAAGGAGGACCATGCTTATCACTTGTAGTAACCTATCTTTACAGTTGTACAGAAAAAAAAAAAAACACTCAAAATACATCAACTCTACCCATCGCACAGTGAATGACACAGGACAGACATATTATATACATGTGTAAATATGCACACACATATACTTTCTCACACATGCACACACACACACACACACATACAGATTCACATCCGGCACTTTTCTGATGTCTAGTTACTCGAAATACATTAACAAGCTACAGTAGCCAAGCAGAGAAGGAAAAGACAGCTTCATTATCGGGGAGCGCAGCATGGCTGAATACACTGTCATGATTGCATGACATCTTTCCCCCGCCAATGTAAACGTCCTGTAAATCTCAGCACAAAGAGTGACCGGGATGCTTTTACTTAGACCATCAGATGCAATAGAATATTTAAGACATTGGCTTCTCTTGTGCAATTATGGGGTTCACTATAATTTCATAATCTGTTTTCATTAGTGGTTGTTATGTAGGTCTGAAATACATTCTGAGCTTTGTTATTTGGGAAGACTTATTATAAATTGTGATCTCTGACGCCACCTTTTGGTGAAACATGTATATGTACAGTGCAAAGAGACTACTGGTAAAATGCTTATTTTTTTTTGCATTTGTTTCTATATAATGTATCATTTCCAAATTGCGTTTTTTATGTAAGAAACATAGATGCACCATAACACAAAGCGTCACTTACTTTATGTAAGAATACATTGTGCCATAACCCCTTTTCAGGACTATCATACTTAACAGATTACATAAAGTAAACTTAAAAAAAGCTTTCAAGCTGAGTACATGTGACTTCCTTGACATACATGTTCTACTTATAATTGAAAATATTACTAGAGATTTAAAATGAGATGCTAATGGGTCAGGTGGGGAACGCTGCAAATGATTTTCAAAACAGGTAAACAATGACCACAGTAAAAACATAAGTTTCATTCATTTTTTTTTTACCCTTTAACGGTACAGTGCATCTTCAGAGCTCAATAACATGTAGGATACACTGAGCCTCAGACGAAGCGCTGCTGAAGTGCTCATCGAGCATCGTCTGGTTTGTGTCTAAAGGGTCTGGCAGATTCTCAACAGTGTCCTACAGTTATACATCAGCAGAGAGCTGTGCGAGAGCGGAGGGGGTGACGGGGAGTCTACTACTGTTTCGCTATGTCGCCTTTCTTTAAAATAATCTGCCGCTGCCACGGCGCCAGCTTGGTTTCATCGTAGCCCAGCGTTCGTAGTCGCTCCAGTTCCGACTTCTCCTCGTTCTCCTTTTCCATTCGCCGCCGTTCCTCCTCTTTTCTGCAGGGACGAGGAGAAACAAGAAAAGTAGGTACATTCACGTTCATGCACATTAATACAATCCAAATGTCAGAAACAGGAACTACTTCTATCTAGAACTATCACTAGTACTGCTATCACTAGTCAGTGTCTTACCTTTTATGTTCCCTGTCCATCCAGAAGTGGATAAAATAAATAGAGGATTACATGTATGTGTTTACATTTTTGTACATTTGCCTACAAGGTACTAACAACAAAATAAAAAAAAAAATTAAAGAACACTACAATGGAAAATACGGTTTTACTTACATCTTATCACTTTGGTATTATAATCCACACAAGACATTGAAAGTAAAAGACAGAAAATTTACAGATTGGCATGGAAGAAATGTCAGGCATACTAAAGGCAGTTCTAGCTATCTTAATCATTAGTTATGAATGATATAAATAAAGCTATTACTCATATATTACTGATAACTGTAATATTACTAGTGATATTACTATTACTGGTATTTGAAATTGGCAAGCAAAACATTATGTTCATTCTTCAAGATAAACACTAAATTGAGTTATAAATGTGCCACATATATAATCAACTTTACCACAGTAGTTAAAAACTAGAATGTATAGAAAACTTGAGGTTGATGGTTGAATGAGGTTTACAGACAATAAACAGAAAAACACAGGAGACAGTAAGAGGCAAACAGAAAGACAAAGAGCTCTGGCTCTTTAACTCGCCTCTCTTCTTCCATCTTCTTCTTCATGATATCTCTCCTCCAGGCAGGCAATGAAGCCAAACGGGACGCCTCTTCTTCAGCCTGACACACACAGAGAAGATCAGAAAAGATTTTTTTTTTCACTACAGTGCCAAAAAAAAAGGGATACGAGTCTATAAATACAAACCACAAAACCAGTATGAAAACATATCTTCAATTGCGGAATACTGGAAACACTGAAAAGCTGAATAATTAAACTGATATAAACATAATTTGTCTGCATTTAAAAAAAAAAAGAACTAATCTTATCACCGTATAAATAAACAGGATTTCACTTCATAGGCCTACATATGAAAGAGAGTTTCGATCAGGAATGTTGCAGGCCATGATAAATGTGTACTGAACATATTCACAATAGCAAAGCCACTCTCACTATATTGCTTAAGTGCAGATTTGGGCTGTTATATTTAGAGGTGGACTCAAGTGCTTCAGTGCAAACATACTAACACCCAATCTTTGAAAAATGTCATGGTTATTGGGCCAAAATACTTTAGCATACTCCGAAAATGTAGACAGTTTCTTCTCTCAGACAGGCGGTGTGTGCACACAGTGTGAAAAGTGATCTTCTTCCTCCATTAGATGTAACTATAGCCCAGCGGAGGAGGCAGTCTTCTTCAGCTTCTCATTTCCCCTCAGCGTGGATTGATTACCTCAACTCCACATCACTGGTAACAGCCCGAGTATCTATGTAAACTAATCTGTGTCTTAATATTTCATTATTCCCCTGGGAATTATATGCCAAGAAAAAAAAAAAAAACAGAGGTAAAAAACTAGGAATGATAAAACACACTGATGGCATTTCTTGCCATATAAGAATCAGATTAAGCAATTAGGTGTTCTTCCATTAATAATGTAATACTGCAATGATGGGTTGCCTTCAGATTTTGACTAATAATTAAAAAAATGTAAATGACGTTCTGTATCAGCTCACATAAAAATATATATAATCTGTCCATAAAGAAGGCTTTACTGAATCTATAGAAGAGGCAAAGACAATCCATTGTTATTGAGTTGAAAGGTTTGTAAAAGTTACTAAAAACTGCATTTAAGAGAGATACTGCAAGACATTCTCCAACAGAGAGATACATCTATGCATATAGAAAAATATTCTGCTAAATCTCACGAAAATGATATATTTCACCTAAAATAAAAATTTTGCATAAAGAAAATACAGCCTATTTTTGTACCATTATACACTGTTGCATTATATTTATGACTGTTTCCCCCAAAACTGTCTATAGATATTTTAGAGTTTATTTGTCATTTTCATTCGACTCTTACTAACGAATCCTGTCTGGACACAATGATTGAAAGATAGATAGATAGATAGATAGATAGATAGATAGATAGTGTAAGGGTAAAAAATAAGCGTAATTTTCTTTATTCAGAATAAAATATTTCTTTTCATTTTGGTTATGGAAATATGACCTGAAATATAGCTCTGTGAAATTAACCCATTTGGTCACGCTTCATTTTAAGGTTCAGTTCTCACTATTAAGTAACTATTAACTACAACTTTTGCTTCAATACACTGCTAATTTGCTGCTTGTTAATAGTTAGTGTAGTTGTTAGGTTCAGGTATGGGAAGGATTGAGTGAGCTAATATATGGTCATGCAGAATAAGGCATTAATATGTACTTTATAAGTACTATTAAACTGCCAATATGCTATAAATAGGCATTGTTATAAGCAACTAGTTAATAGTGAGATGGTCACTATACCAGTGAGATGGTCCTTAAAATAAAGTGTTACCACTCATTTGATATAATCAGAGAGCTGTCACCTAAAACATTTACTTTTACCTTAAAATATACAACACATGCAGCAGAACAAAGTTTTAACATGGTGCTTATTTAGTATCTGCAATTACATACTTTTCCACTTGAAATTCTTCCAATGCTTGTGGAGATGAAATCACACTTAGACTACTGTCCTGCCTTCTTAAGGAAATGGCAGCTAAATGCCCTCTAAAACACAGCTTGAGCTTGACTCCAAAAATAGCTTTGATGCCATAGTTAACTCTCTAATTCTGATTTAACTCTTTAGCTAATTAACTTCATGGAACCTAACTAAAAGTTCATTATTTTGTAGAGCAATTAATTATTGTACTAAGAAATACTGTTAAATGGAAACAGTGGCCTTTATTAAAAGCTATTATTAAACCTTATAAAGGTGTTCAATCATTTTATTAAAATTATAATAGGAAATCACAAATGAAAATGAAATGAAAGTGTCCAATCATAAACTTTAGATTTATTTAATTTTGTAAGTATTTCTCAAAAACGAACAAACCATCAAACTGACACTACAAACGTGGAACAATATAAACGTCAATGTTAGGTGTAAAAAAAAAAAAAAAAAACTCTTATGAATACCAATTGCAATAAAAACCTTCTTAAGTAGAAATCCATCTGCTTTTCAAAACCTCTTGAAAACAACATTGCCAAAAACAATTGGTAAAAAAAGACAATCAAACTGAAAGATAAACAAAAGGGCAAGAATTCTAGCACATCTACAAATGTGTCATTGTTGAATGAATAAAGGCATTGATTATGTTCAGAAACTAAGAGTTGTGTGTTCTTAAATAACTCAAAACACGGCAAGAACACTAAGAGGGAGCACGTTCCTTCTTTTCCTAAACAACAATTCTGATCATTTCCAAATAATTATGCAACATGCAGAACAAACCATTTAAAACAGATGATATAAAACACATTTTAGCTGTAATTTATGTCTGTGATACTCTCAATTGTAAGTTATACAAATAAGAACGAACAACAGTTAAAAGTTACAAAATTTGAATGGCTTTTAATAAATTAATCTGAAAGAAATCAATTAATGAACAAAATGCTAGTTTTAAAAATGGTCAGAATACTTTTACATTTAATTTCAAGAAAATGTATTTTGAGCTTCATTGATGGATGATTTAAAGCAGTGGTTCCCAACCCCGGTCCTTGAGGCACGCCAAAACTGCACATTTTGCATATCTCCTTTCTCAGTCTGACACACCAGTTTCAGGTCTTGGAGTCTCTACTAATGAGCTGATGATCTGAATCAGGTGTGTTTGATTAAGGAGACATGCAAAACATGCAGTGTTGGGGTGCCTCCAGGACCAGGGTTGGGAACCACTGATTTAAAGCACTTTGAACAGACAGATATGACTGTTCAAATGAATTAGCACACTTAAAGCCTGTGTGTATTATTCGACTGTTTGAATCATACACACTCAGTGAAAAGTTGATATTCTGCTAGAAAGACTGTAAGCTTTCCGTCACTTCACCTTGTGATATGTAGTGCTATGATTTCTATGCATTTATTGTTTTATCTGCATGATAGCAATTTACAAAATAAATACATTTTACACAGCTTGCAGCTGTTTGTAGGCTTTTATTTGTCCCTGTGTATTTGTATCTCTAAAGCTTTTCATGGCTATTAAACAAATAGATAAATATTTCATTCAGCATGATGCTATTAACTTGAATTCTAAAACCATTACAGCTCAACATTAGATTGCTTCTTCTGACATTTCCGGCAGTGAACTGCCTCAAACTGCTTGCTGAACTGCTTAAAGCATCTCCTGGTGATTGTGTTTCATCCTTCAAATAAGTTGACCTGATAAGTCAGATGTCAAACATCTCAGCCTCCTTCTCTTTCCAGAAGGCGAAGCTTCGATCAATGTATCTAATAATTTCCTCATTGCTAAACTCTTTAAGTTCATAGATAAGCTTGATGGAGTCCTCATTGGGCTCCTCTTTAATATTTGCTGGGCTCTGTTCGTTCACAGTATTAATGCATGGGGCTTGTGTCTGGGGGCTTTCCGCTGTTGCGGTTGCTTGCGGTACTGTGTTTTCTGACTGTGGTGCATCCTGTGCTGCATGTGGTAGTTGAACTTCAGTACTACTCTTCTGTATTTCCGTATCATTTATAAGAGTCTCAGCTGAGTTCTCAGAAGTGCCCTGCTGGGTGGCCGTTGCAGAGTCGTCTGGGTGTTCATTAGGGACTTCTGGTGGTGAAACACTTGGGAGATCTGCATCGGCTGGAGCGTCTTGCGATATATTCACGGATGCCTGCAGAATCTCCGGAGGCAGAATGAGCTCAGCCGCTTCCAGTAGCCCACCGCCCTCCACAGAGTCACCGAAATACTTCACCTTGATATCTTCGAAGCCATCTGACCAATCGTGTTTCCCGCTCTCAAGGCTCTCCATGACCTCTCGGTGGAACTGGCGGATCACTTCCCACGGGTGACTGCCTAGTCTGTCAAACATCTCGTAGCAAAGCAAGTGGCGAAACTTCCGTTCAGTGCGTGACATGTTCATCTCCAGAAGCTGGAAGTAGCCTAGCATGAAAAGGTCAAGGGTTAGACTCTCATATTGAACCGGAGACCCATTGATGTGGGGAAGGAAGTGCTCGGGCCAGTAGATCATCTGAGCTCGACTGAGTCTGCGGATTTGTCGCGTGGGCACCTGGCTCATAATGGTCCTCCAGTGGCCAAGAAGATTTCCCACCACCTGTCTCTGTTTCATGAAATACAGCAGCTGGTCATCCTCCATTTGCATGGTCCCATCTGGCTTAGCTAGGTTGTGATAATACAGGGAATGGGAGTCGTTCTCCTCAACACTCAGAGTCTTCCCTCTACCTGAGCACTTGTAGGCTTCAGTCATTGTGTACTTTCTCCAGTGCTCCAGGAACAGAAACACAATCCTCTCCTTGCGCATCTCGATGCACTCCTGGACGTAGCTCAGGTCCGTCTGTACTTCTAGACTGCGGGTGAGATGCTCTGAGGTTAGTGGATTCGTAGGCTGGTCATGATGCTCTGAGTCAGATGATCCAGGCCCAGTGTATGTCAAAGGTACATGGGACTGCGTTATAGGTTCCTCATTCACCAATGGTAAATCCTGATCTATCGGCGACCCATCTCCGGCTTGCGAGAGGCTCTCACTTAAAGAGAACAGCAACTCGTCCTCCAGGATGGGCTCTGAGGGGTAGCTGCATTCACTAACCGCCGGCAAGGACCTCGTCCGCTTGTATATGCGGTTTGCTTTGTCGTCCTCGTACTTTGACTGGCTATGAATTTCGTAATTGGCTTTCAGGCTCTTCACAGACACGCCACACTGCTTAATCTCCTTCTCCACCTCCTCTCGAGTTGAGAATGATTGCGATCGGCCAATGCTTCCAGAATTTGAGATCCCCGTCTGGCCTTTTCCACTCTTCAGGCCTTCGTACGTATATCCTTCATTGATCATTCCCAGAATATCGATCTCCTTCCCGCCCAAAGTGGCGAGCAGAATGGCCATGCTTTTGAGCAGCGTGGAGATCTTGCTGCACCAGGCAGGCAGGTCTTCTGCTTGCCCATGAACCTGTTTGGGGTTGACAGAGAAGTGGTCTTGGTTCAAGGCTGCAGACACAGGTAGGAGTTGCTTCAACTCTTGCTCCAGCTGTTCCAGATCTTTCTCCACCTCTGTCACTTTGTGCATGACCTGGAGGTTCTCGATCTGCTTCTCAATGCGGACAAGGTCGTCCTCTGTCATCAGTTCCCCAAAGGGACCCAGTATAGCATTGTGCACGTGTGAATAATGCCAGTCTTGGGCTTGATAGTATCCACTGGCAGCAAACTAAAGTAGGTTCAGAGGAGGATATAGAAGGGAACAAAAACAGAGGTGGGGTGCTCTTCAGCTTGTAGATCCAATGCGTTACATACACGCCTTTAAAGCCTCTTCACCCCAAACGTTTCAAACTTTACATGAATTTAGTGGTGCGATGATACTGCCTTGATTTGACTGAGTTGACTTTACTTGCAAAAGAAGCTTCAGGGAAAAAAATTTAGCTGAGTCTGGCAAGACTATGTGTCTTGAGTTTTTGTTAGGATCTATTAAATATGTGACCTCGGACCACAAAACCAGTCATAAGGGACAATTTTTTGGAATAGCTGAATAAATAAGCTTTCCATTGATGTATAGTTTGTTAGGATAGGACAATATTTGGCTGAGATACAACTATTTGAAAATCTGGAATCTGAGGGTGCAAAAAAATCTAAATATTGAGAAAATTGCCTTTAAAGTAATCAAAAATTAGGTTTTGATATATTTACGGTAGGAAATTTACAAAGTATCTCCATGTAACATGATCTTTACTTAATATCCTAATGATTTTTGGCATAAAAGAAAAATCGATAATTTTGATCCATACAAAGTATTTTTGGCTATTGCTACAAATACACCCCAGCGACTTAAGACTGCTTTTGTGCTCCAGGGTCACATATATTAAAAAATACTCTGGGTTGTTTTTAAACGATTGACTATGGACACAATCAGTGACATGCTGTTGAATTCTACAAACAATAATTTCAATGCAATCCTCAATTCGTAAAAAGGAGCATATTTTCAGTAAAACACTTACTGTGGATGTATAGGCAAGCGGATTTAAAAGCTCATATTTTTTTTGTAAAAGCACTTGAATACCTCATTAGCTACTATTTGAGCTGTGAAGTTGCCTAAACTGTCCTTTTGAGTTGGGACTACTTGGAGTTACGAGTTACCACCAGCATAATATTTGTGGATAGAGTTTGCATAACTCCGCTCCATGTAAATACGTTTTGTTTATGCTTGGAGTTGATATGTTATGTCTCTTGCTGATATGCTTGTGCAGATATCAATCAAACTGAGGTTATATTTTTTGTCATAACATGAATTAGAAGATTTTGTACAGAGAGAGGGTTGGTAAGCAATTCTGTAACAACACTTTCATGACACCACAATGTTAAAGACTTATGGCTATAATACTGAAACAATGTGATAGCTATATATTTTGGAGTGCTGGCCACTTGTTTGCTAGTCTTTCATTGTAAGTGTATTTAAAGTAAGTGTTGTATATTGTAAGTGTATTTACAGTATGTTCTAAATTTAATTCCTGTAATTCCACAGCCTGCCATAGATGCTGTCCATATAGACATTCATTTGAAAGTTACCCAGAAGTTTCCTTTAAGTGTGAAATTCATGTGTACTTTATCTGTCAATTATATTTAGCTCATGTTTCCAAGGGACTTGACTATATGCACATGATCTAAAATAATAAATAAATAAATACTGAGACACTTTCAGGACGTTAACAAGATGTATGAAGGTATAAGAAAAAAATAAAGCGCTTAATGAGTAGAATGAGCAAGACGACCAACTGCACTTCATGCTGTAAGCTCCAGTTGCAGTGTGAAGGGGCTTTGCATCACACCACTGAATCCCCATGTAAAAACTTAGAGCTGTCGTGCACCATCGCCAGTAAGCCACATTCAACTAATACTTCCTTAGTAAATGTCAAACCCACTTAGGCTTGTCTTGAGATGGTCACAACAGCCCCAAATTAAACACTGCATCACTCAACACACAGTAAAGGAAAAGCCAACCAAATGTCACACTGCAAAACACTTCCTTGAAACCCCACACTATGAATCCCAGACCAAAACTGAAGAATGAGTTTTATTTTTGGCTTTCAGACGGAGACTTACCATAAGCTGAAACCAACCTTGTCTGAGCAGTAATATTAAACTCTTAAAGGTCTAGTTTTACAAATCAGAGCCAACTGTAACTGTAACAACTGTGTGTTTGTTTTACCCGCCATTTGACTTTGCAGTCAAGTACATGCCAGAGGGACACATCGATGTGTTCACAATAAATAAACATATATATGAAAGAACAGAGTAGACAGCAAAAGGGATTCGATAATGCCATCTAAGGCAAGAATAAGTAATCTGGCCTATTTTACTGGTACAAGATGTCATGAAAAACAATGTTCCTTGGACAAAATATGTACAAATATACCACTCTCACAATATTGTTCAGTCATTGACAAATAATATCTCACCCCAACACTAATTCTCCATCCTTGCATCTATTAACAACACATTTCTAAGATTTATGTGCTGACAATTCCTGCTAATCCGAAAATGGATTTATGAAATGATTCAGAGCTACATAGATGTTTGCTCATTCGCACCACACTGCTTTAGTTACCCTCAGATATCATAAACTTATCATACAATTTATCATTCATGGAGAAGTGAAAGATCACATGCATAATGTTTGCAATTAGCTCTTGCATATAGTTTTTAAAACAGAAAACTCAAAAATCCCCATGCAGACACCCACTGCTCCACTATCCTCCATGTAGACAGATCAAACCTCAATTTCACAGCTATGATTTACATTTGAAATCATAAGCATTTTTAAAATCTAAAGAGGTGATACTATAGCTCACACTGCTAAAACTACAGGAGGATAGCGCTGAGGTCAGAAGCTGAGAAAATGCACTCATTTCCATTTATTCATTGTAAAAGTTAAATTGTTACTGAGTTCATTTTTAGAAACATCATTGTATATAAACATTTAAAAACAACTGGGTATAACTATGAGACTGGTTATGTTCAGAAGGGAAAACTAGCTTAAATATGATTATTTTGTATTTTAAATGAAATATTATCTTAACAGCTTTTAGAAGTCTTAAAATAGCTTATATTACTTTAATTCATCACAACTGAAATGGAAGGTCAATTAAGGTGCATTGTATGTATAAAGACAATTTGCATACTGTGCACATAATACATCTGCTGCAGAAACTGTAGTATGAACAGTAGTATGTTAGTATGCTATTCCGAACATTTTAGCAATTATTTAACATACTTAAGGACCCCATGAAATGCCTTGACATAATTTTCTCCCCTGCATTGATGGATATCTTACTGAAACAGGAAGTGGGGCAATATTGAGGAGTTTTTCCCTGGTTTAACATCCCGAGAAAAAAAAATCCACAGCTTGCACCATTGACAAAAGAATTAATAAATATACCAGCAACTCCCATCGTAACCACTAAATGGTTGGGAAAGCACATATATGGAAAAACTTTGCAACCACAGACTCACGGTAACACTTTAGTTTAGGGAACACATATCACTATTAACTAGTTGCTTATTACCATGCATATTACTAGCATACTGGCTGTTTATTAAAACTTATTAAGTACAAATTAATGCATGACTATATTTTAGATCCCGTAACTATGGAAACCCGTTTCTGCCACCAAAAAAAAAAAAAATTTAAAAAGGTAATTGCAGCTATTTATCCCAAAATTCTGATTTGTTGTTTTTTTCCTCAGAATTGTGAGATGTAAACTCGCAATTGCTAGTTATAAAATCAGAATAGTGAGTTTATGCCAGAAATGGGCTTCCATACTTAAATACCTAAACGTAACTACTACAACAACTACCTTACTTACTATCAATAAGCAGCAAATTAGAAGTTTATTGAGGGAAAACTCTTAGTTAATAGTGAATATGTGTTCCTTGATCTAAGGTGCTACCAGACACACTGATGAACTATGGTTTGCTTCTTTCTAATGCTAGTCAGAGGCACATATCATTGTTTGGGATTGGGCTTCTTCATTCTAAGAAGCATTTTATGGGACAAAAATTTGTCATCAGTCTTTTTTTTTTTGTTTAACCAGATAATAAAGACTATTTTGTGCGTGCATGTGCATTTTGTCGGCTCTTAGGAATAGCTAGCATATAAATTACCTTAAAGGAATAATTCACCCAAAATGAAAATTTTGTCATCATTTACTCACCCTCATGTTGTTCCAAACCTGTACTGATTTCTTTCTTAAGTTGAACACAAAACAATATATTTTGAAAAATTTTGAAGAACCAAACAGTTGTTGGTCCCCATTGACTTCCATAGTAGGGAAAGAAATACTATGGAAGTCAATGGGGGCCATCAACCAGCATTCTTCAAAATATCTTCTTTTGTGTTCATCATAAGAAAGAAACGTATACAGGTTTGGAATGACATGAGGGTGAGTAAATGATGACAACATTTTCATTTTTGGGTGAACTATTCCTTTAAACGCATAGACTCAAAGCCACTAAACTCCAATTTTGATTCGTGGGGTCTTTAAGTATGTTCTGAAGCTGTAGTAATGTTGACATTTTGGATAAGAGATGCACTGCCTCAGCTTATGTTTAAAACACCCAGCTGCTTCATCACTCACCTTTCTCTTGTTCTCTTCCTCCTCCTGCATCTTCACTTGTAGTTTCCTCACCATCACCTGTCTCTTCCACTCTGGGATGGCTCGGCCCTGCTCGTCATGTGTGGGCACCAGACTCTCTACGTCCACCACGCTGGACTTGCTCTGGACAGCAGGAGTATTTCCGTTGACAGCAGTTGCGAACTTCTCGCTGCTCTGTGAGGTGGACAGGTTCTGGGGCGACCCTCCGCTGGTCGTGGGAGCGGGTGGAGTGGGTGGGCAAGCAGGCGGTGGAGACTCTGGCTTTGCAGATTGGGTGTTGTTGGGCTGGGGTTTTGGCAGAGGCTCTGGCGGCGATGACGGACGTTCCCCCTGAATGTCAAAACGATCAATCAGAATAGAATGTTCTAGACAAAAATATAGACATGGTCACAGCTGGCTTGAATAAAAAAAACCCTCTTAAAAATACAATTATATCAATAATTCTTTGTAGCATCTAATGATCTCATCTAAACAACTCTCATCTTATAAAGAATAGGGTTAACTTGCAATGAGGATAATGATTTGCACTGTATATGACTTTATACAGTGCAGGTCGTTTCAAAGTAGCTTTACAGTGCTTAACAGGAAAATAATGATTCAATGATGCAAACAGAATTTAGTTCAGCTCTAGAGAAGCTCTGAAAAGACAATGGTAAACAATAATGAGTCAGTTGAAATCAGTTCATTGTTGATTCAGTTTGGTTCAATAACTGTGTAAAGTCCATCAATTATGAAACAAGCTTAATTCATAGATAGATAGATAGTTAGGTAGGTAGGTAGGTAGATAGATAGATAGATAGATAGAGAGAGAGAGAGAGAGAGAGAGAGAGAGAGATAGATAGCTCTGGAGAAAACAGTAATTTCATCATCGAGATGAGTTCAGTTCTCATCCACTAGTGTCCGTGCAGTCCAGTGAATAATATTTCCAGATATTAAGTGATACATTATTGGCTGCATAAATGTGATTGTTTTTTATCTTACAGACTTTTTAGTTCATTTTTGTACAATAAACTATTTTTGATGTGTCTGCTATACTTATCAAAAACCATTTTTCACTGTTAAAGGTTCTTGAGTTGGTTATGGTTCTTTGGAAATTAAAAATACTTTTTAAACAATGCATCACAGGTTCTTGAGATCAGTGTATTAGTTTCAGGATTCTTTAGAGCACCGATACATTAATGATTTTCTAAAGAACTAAAGAACAAAACATTCTTTGTAAAATAAAGTTATTGTTGGCATTATGGTATGATTGTGTTCACAGTGTTCTGGAATGACCATAATTCAGAATTCCTAATAATGAAAACTTGTATTTATGTCATTACTCTGCCATTTAGGAAAAATTGAATATTTAATTTTGTTTGACTGTTTGACTGAGTTCTTTGTCGTACACTCTCAGAAATAGGGTACAGAAGCAGTCAATGGGGTGGTACATTCAAAAGGTTTTCATTTAGCTACTATGTATACTATAGCTACAAATATGTACCTTTAAGATACTAAAATGCACGCTTTAGGGGTAAATAAGTTACAAAGGCATACCTTTATACCGTCCCAGTGACAGCTTTTGTACTTTTTTTCTGATGATGTAATTCATTTCTTGAAATTCTCAGCAAATTAAGGTAGCTAAAAAAGATTTGAATGCTCCTCTGTCATTTCCTCAATTGCGTAACTTTAATAAATGCGATTAATCGCATCCAAAATAAAAGTTTTTGTTTACATAATATATGTGTGTGTGCTGTGTATATTTATTATGTTTATATAAAGATACACACATAGAGCATATATTTTGAAAATATTTACATGTATTTACTAGTGCTGTCAAACGATTAATCACATCCAAAATAAAAATTTGTTTACATAATATATGTACGTCTACTGTGTTATATTTATTTTGTATATATAAATACACTCACATGCATGTATGCATTTAAGAAAAATATGTTATGTTTATATATTAAATATTTTTTTTAAATATAAATTATATGAATATAAATATAGACATGTAAATACATGTAAATATTTTCAAAATATATACTGTATGTGTGTGTATTTATATACATATATTATGTAGAAAAAAACTTTTATTTTGGATGCGATTAATCGTTTGACAGCACTAGTATTTACATGTATACATTTATATTCATATAAACTATATATATAAACGTTACATATTTTTTTAATATATACATGCATGTGTTTGTATTTATATATACATAATAATTATACACAGTACACACACATACAGTATATTATGTAAACAAAAACTTTTATATATTCATATAAACTATATATATAAACGTTACATATTTTTTTAATATATACATGCATGTGTTTGTATTTATATATACATAATAATTATACACAGTACACACACATACAGTATATTATGTAAACAAAAACTTTTATTTTGGATGCGATTAATCGCGATTAATTGTTTGACAGCACTAAAATAAATAAATAAATAAACCATACTAAGATGGCCTCTTAGCTAGTTCCATTTTATTATTTTCATTAGTTTTTTCTTAGCTGGTCTTGTTTGCTGGCTTTAAAGAGGTTTTCTATAAGCTAATTAGGACTAGACCAGTTTGCAAACTCTGCGGTATTTTGGAACAAATGAACTGTAACGTGGTAGAAACTAGTCAAATTAGAGAGATCGGCATCTGCATTTATTTGATTGAAAATACAGTAAGATTGTGAAATATTGTTACATATTTAAAATAACTAATTTTAAAAATTCTAATAATAGAAAAATAGTTTTCTATTTAAAAATATTTGTAAAAATGCATTGCTGTGATCAAAGCTGAATTTTCAGCATCATTACTCCAGTCTTCAGTGTCACATGATCCTTCAGAAATCAGTATAATATGCTGATTTGCTGCTCAGGAAACATTTCTGATTATTATCAGTGCTGACATGGACAGGTTGTGTGACATGCCCTAATCCTCGAAAACCATTAGCAAAACAAGAAAATATGGCCCAGATTACAAATACACAATTTTGCAACTGTGTGCGCTCACCGAATGAGGTCCAATATATATATATATATATATATAAAAATTATTCAACTCTGAAGAATCTAAAGATTTCTGACAGCACTCAAAATGTTAGCAGGTATATTAAAGTATTTAATCAAATAATATGCAGGCAAATATTGCTGGTAATTACTATATTGAGGCATATAAATGAAAATGATTGTATATCATTCCTCCTTGTGTTCGTTTAGCCACTTCAATGTAAATAAGCATAGAAAGAAAATAATCAAAAAGCTGAAAATATCAAAACATAATTTATAATATTTTTAGATACTTTGCCCAACATGACCTAGTTAAAATAAATCATCATATAGCTTAATACAAACGCAATGTACGTTACCTTCGACCTTGACTTGGCAAATCTTCATTCATGACCTGTAGCTAAATATCACTTTAATATAACTTAAACAAAGGCAATCAGAAGAACTTGTGCCTGCATATGAGCAGAAAAAAGAGGATCAGGATGTTCACAATAGCTGTGCGTGGCGAGGAATGATGTGGCGTAGGATGAAGGCGCTGCGTTGACGGCACAGCAAGTCAATAAGGCCGCCCACTGTTTACACACCTTTATACTCATTCATTAAAGCATGACTCACTATACGCAGACTAATGTCAAAACATGCCACTTTAATAGATGAACTGCTTGTAAACTCAACAGTTTATTCCAAATTGAAAGTGGTTTTAATTCCACATGGATTTTTATGAGGACGAGTCAACATGAAATAAAAATTCACACCATATTTACTTAATCTTATTGTGCATGGTTCACCGGTGCATTGTATTTCTCAAAATTAACTTTCATCAAAATATAATAGCTTTCTCTGTGTCTCTGATGTCATCAAGCCCTCTTAGTTGTCAACCAATCACCTGGCTTCATTCTGGTATGCCACGCCCACTTTTTTACAGCCATTTACAAAATAGAAAAGTTCCATCCTGTGGTTTTTATCGCCGTTTCACTCAGAAAACAGTGTTGGGGGTAATGTGGGTTACGTAATCGGATTACTTTTTCAGGTAACTAGTAGTGTAACACATTACTTTCAAATTTACAAGAAAATATCTGAGTTACTTTTTCAAAATTACTTTGTTTTCCCATTTATTCACTCCTGACTCCTCTCCTGTCCCGTGTTGAGTGAAATCGAGAGTAAGGTGCAAAGTTTCTTCCTTCAGCCTGAGGCTTATTCATTTAACTTTTGGTGTGAAAGGGCATTTATAGTTGCCAAAAATAAAACTTTTTAGGTTTTTTATTATTAAAAAATACAAAACAAGCCCAGCTTAGGTGACAAAGAGTAAAGCAAAAGTCATGTAATACATTACTTTCCATCAAAAGTAACTAAGTAACGCAATTAGTAACTTTTAACGCAATATTGCAATGCATTACTTTCAAAAGTAACTTTCCCCAACACTGTCAGAAATACGTCAGGCTGTGAATGTCATTTCATGTTGACTTCACTGTATTTGTGGATAAAGTGGTTCAACGACCTCACTCGCCGCACAATTTCATCAATCAATGTAGCTACGCTATATAAACAATCACAGCTGATGTGCCAGAGTCCCCGCAGCATCTGGGAATTCTGTGGGATGATCGCAACTGGGATCACAGAAAAATCACGCTGGGTGCTGTGGTTTCTTTGGCTATCTGAACTAGTGAGAAGTATAAGTGCATGGTAATATTGAAAATACTATAGATTTACTTCAGCTTGTGGTCCAGTAGCCAAATAAACGACACACTCGGTTCTCTCGATGAAGGGAAAGAGAAGAATTGGAGTAAAGAACGAGACATAAACACAAACACACACACACATAATGAGGCTGGGGGGAAATACTTACTCTTCCTCTGCCGGAGTGTTTCTGGAGCAGGGGTGACAGAGGGAGACAGATCCCTTTCTTCATGAAAAGAGAAGAATATGGAAAGCCAGAAAGTGTCCATGCAAAGCAGAGAGAGACAGATCCAGGCAGACAGGTGTGGTGAAGACAGACGTAGACGATGAGAGGATGACAAATACAGGAAGGAAAGAGAGGAGATGAACAAACAAAAAAACCAAACACAATGAAACACAATATTGTTTTGGCAACCTGTTCGCCTCTTTACTACATACAACCATGTAGTTGTGCCTTTTTTATTTTTAAACTTGTGGTCAAGGGTGATCTATAGGTAACTGAGAGTCGTATACTTGCGCTGAAAAAATTTGTTTTTAAAATCGGTAAAAAATAGAGCAAGGCTAAATGATATACATGTCATGTGTATATGTTGTCTTTCATTTACTAACTGCTTGTTTTCTTACAAAAAAAAAAAAAAAAACTAACACTAGCTTTTCTAATCTTGTATGTATTCTATCTATTTGTTTTCTTTTTATTTATTATACAATTAACAAAAGCAAAAAAAGGCCTCTAACACTAGCTTCTCTAATCTTTTTCTATCTGTTTTCTTTTTATTTATTATATAATAACTAAATAAAAACCTTGCTACGTGTACTGCATTAAGCTAACTGAGACTTGTTATAGCACTTGCGTATCATTGCTCTTTTGTTGATTTTGATTGCTTCTGTTGTCCTCTTTTGTAAGTCGCTTTGGATAAAAGCATCTGCTAAATGACTAAATGTAAATTAATAAATACAACTTTTGGCTGGTAGTGTATATGCAATACTAAATCGGTAAAAAATAGAGCAAGGCTAAACACTAGATGTTTACATTGTCTAAAGTGCTTGCTTATATAAAACTTGCCTTCAAGCTGCTTATTTAGTTGCTATGTATTTGTTATGCAGTTGCTAAGGTGTTCCGAGTTCTTTTAATATGTGTAGGGTATTCTAAGTGGTTGCTAGGTCAACTTGGTAGCTTCTCATGTATTCAGGACTGTTACTAGAGCGTTGCTAGGTGGTTGCTTTTTTGCGTTGTGAATGTTACAATGGAATTGCTAAGTGGCTGCGAGGATGCCTTGGGTGGTTTCTAGCAGGTTGCTATGTTTAGGGGCTTGCTTACTGGCCCAAGCCATTTTTACCCGTTTTATCATCGGGTGGGTAAAAAATAGCTTAGAAAAGAACTTGCACACCTCTTCTCAACCAGTAATACAATATGAACAAAAATCTGCATTATGAGTCACGCAATAAAGTTTAATACATAGGGTTATGAGTACTACTACCGGTCAAAAGTTTGGAATATTTATTTATTTAATTTTTAAAGTCTCTTATGGTCACCAAGACTGCAATAATTTGACTAAATATACAGCAAAAACAGTAATTTTGTGAACAATTTTTATTTATTTGAATATATTTTAAAATGCAATTTACTTTTGAGATGCAAAGCTGAATTTTCATCAACCATTACTCCAGTCTTCAGTTTTATTTATTATACAATTAACAAAAGCAAAAAAAGGCCTCTAACACTAGCTTCTCTAATCTTTTTCTATCTGTTTTCTTTTTATTTATTATATAATAACTAAATAAAAACCTTGCTACGTGTACTGCATTAAGCTAACTGAGACTTGTTATAGCACTTGCGTATCATTGCTCTTTTGTTGATTTTGATTGCTTCTGTTGTCCTCTTTTGTAAGTCGCTTTGGATAAAAGCATCTGCTAAATGACTAAATGTAAATTAATAAATACAACTTTTGGCTGGTAGTGTATATGCAATACTAATAGTGATGCTTGTCTCAGCAAACAGCACTTACTGGATCTTTATCATCTTAGCTGCCTTATATATGATGATTGAATTAAGAGATTCCTGATTTCACCTTAAAACCTTAAAACACCTATTTTTGCAAGAGAAAAAGGAAATCAGCTGGCCAGCTAGAAAGTGTTGGGCTTTCTGTTTGTGTATTATTTGCAGGCCACAACAAATGTGCAATAGGACGGTGTAATTCCACAGCCAGCGCTACATTTCCCTGACATAACACTGAATTGTACAACACATCACGGATATTGTTTTGTCCCGAAGACATGTCAAGTATCCCTTGGAGGAAGAACAATTAAGTAAATGGCAGAACACAAAACCGATTCAAAGTAACAATAGCCCATGCGCATTAATTCGTAAACAGACTTTGGAAGGAGCAGGCCGCCAGATCTCACGTTAACAGTCTGGAACTTTGTGAGATTTACCCTGTGGCTGCAGGGCGGTTCTGGGGCTTGGTCCCCCTAAATATATATATATATATATAAATAAAAACATCCCCAGCTGCTAAATTCAAATCTGCGTTCGCTGGCTGGCACAGAGCCAGAGACACATATGTTTTTACAGCACTGTGCATTATAACCAATCACACACGATTCTGTTGAGTTTATGAATGCAAGGACCAATCAGAGGCGTTCAGATGAGTCACCACTGAAACACGCTGTTTTGTTCATGTGCGCGCTGGTGACTGATTCTCTGACTAATTCTCTCATCAGAAACAACAAAGTGAAGATGTACGAATGTAAGTAAGATATTAATTTCACACTGTAAACAGCTTTAGAGATTATTGTGGGAGTTTTTGAGAGTGCTTAAACTTGCTAGACTGAAGTGAAAATGTTCTTTGATAATGTAAACATTCTTTGCTCTCTTGCTGTACAATGAAAAAAGACGGATTTTTATGCAAAGTTAATAGATTACACTATTAGGCTACTTTGCCCATCGCCCATTATAGATCAACAAACGTCTATTAAGGTGCAAAATGCATTTACTTACACATATTTGAGAATAGCGATGTTTCATGATATATGTTGGGAATATTTCGAATAAAAATTAAAAATCATTAATCCCTGCTGAAAAAAACAATAGACACCATTACAAAATTTGTAATGGTTTTACTGGTTATAATGGGACTTGTATTGGTTTTGCTGGAAACTGCAATGAACCCTGTGGGTATTTACTGGTAAATGGTCGTCTTCTATTGGTGGCTTGTTAAATCCAATAAATCCTAATGGAATATGTCCCAAAACACACTACAGGAAACATTTTTTTGAAGGATAAAAGTTGATGGTTTGTAATGTTTGTAATGGTATTTGTAGTGGAAACCATTAACATTTTCTGTGATGGTTTTATTGGGGTTTTTTCCAGTAGGGATATAAGCCTATATCAGTTATACAGTGGTATTGTGGCTGTTGTGTGTCACATGACAAGCATGAGTGCCCCCCTTCACTCGAGCCCCCTCAAAAATAACGAGTGCATGATGCCCCTGACGCTACAATACAAAATTATGTGTCAAATAAATGAAACATGTTGAAACATTCATTTTAGTTGAAATTGTTATAGATTAGTTCTAGGGATCGCAGTAACACATGACATGGTGAAAAATGACTGAATGAATAATACTGAAAGTAGGTTAAGATGAAATTTAAAATTGTGCCCCTAAAAGCACAAGTGGCCCCTGTCTGGCCCCCAGTTACTGGTCTAGAACCGCCCCTAAGACTTCCATCTTGTGCTTGCGGAGAGCCCTTGGTGATACTGAGAGTTGGACTGAACATGGACAGGTCTACTGATATCCACAACATCTGCTTTAAATAAACGGTTTAGGTTTGCAGACTAAACAGCATGAATATTTTACATTGGATGTTATATTGGTTGCACATTCACCCATGACTGAAGATCTAAGCAAATACTGATACATAAACCGAAGTTTGACACCAATGCACTCACACCATTCATGTGAAATATTTTCATATTAAATATTTAAATACTTTAAATAAAGGGATATTCTTTGTTAGGTACAACTTACAATCTGACAACATCTGACACATACTGTCATATTACCACATACAATCATTCAATTGCCGATGTTTGACTTTAGATGATTGCATTATTACTTGAGAATGGCTTTGAAGGACTGTTTTTAGTCCAAACTATTTTCTGTGGTAATCAGCAGCATGTCAAAGATGCTATCAATAGTATTTAACCGAAATTTAGCTTGTATTTAGTATTTAGCTTTAGGAGTAAAAGTACATCCTGGATTTTGCATGCTGGCCACAATTAGATTCCTTTAGGAAGTTTTAACTGTACTTAATAAGGCCGTCTTGTTCCCCTGTGTTTTAAATCTTGGCCTAATGAATCATCAGGTGCTTATGAAGTTTGTTTGCACTTTTGAGAGCTTTTAAAGGCTTGCATGCATGAAAATTGTACAAGGGTCAATTGACTTTTAAATATCAGGTTTCAAAATATCTACTGGCTTTTATAAAAAAAAGTTGAAAGTAAAGTATCATGTACACTACCGGTCTAGTGTCTTTGTTCACGCAGTTATTTGATTGAAAATACAGTCAAAACAGTAAATATTGTTACATATTTAAAATAACTGTTTTCTAATTAAAATTATATTTAAAACTTTACTCCTGTGATCAAAGCTGTATTTTCAGCATCATGACTCCAGTCTTCAGTGTCACATGATCTTCAGAAATCATTCTAATATGCTGATTTGCTGCTCAAGAAACATTTCTGATTATTATCGGTGCTGAAAACATTTTTTTGCTGCTTAATTTTTTTGTGGAAACTTTGGGATAAGTAAGTGTTCTTTTGAAATTTCTATCCATCAAAGAACTTAAAAAAAAATAGTATCAGAAAAATATTAGGCAGCAAAAACGGTTTACATTATTAATCACTGAGCGCCAATAGTAATTGACAATAATTGAGCACCAAATCAGCATATTAGAAAGATTTCTGAAGGATCATGTGACACTGAAGACTGGAGTAATGATGCTGAAAATGCAGCTTTACATCACAGGAATAAATTGCATTTGATAAAATATTTATTTTAAATTGTAAACATATTTCACAATATTACATAAGAAACTTCTTTTTAAAAAAACATAAAAAAATATTAATTATTCCAAACTTTTGACCGGTAATGTATTGTGTGCAATCTGTCAATGCAGTGGCATAACAGGGATGTATCTGTCCTCACTTTGTGACACTAATACTCTGCCCTCCAGGGATAGGAGAAGATTAAAGGGGTCATACTACGAACAAAGGGTCAAACGAGTGAAAGGGTTGAACGCATAACCCCTAAGCATTGTTTCACAGATGAAGAGGTCAGTCGATTATAACTTAAGGCCTTTACAAGTCTTAAGTGGTGTTCACATTGCCAGCGGTTAAATTCATAAAGGTCGGGCCAAATCTCTGTGCTGTTAGGCTAGCAGGTGTTTCTCCATCAGCGTATCCAACTGTATCAGGTGGCAGATCACTGTCTACACTCGCGTCAGTAGCTGCCACACTGCATCGCTGCTCATTATGCAACCTGATTTGCATAAAGCTGAGCCGTGGTCAATGTTGTTGCATCGCAAATGGTTGATGTCGATCACACCACCTCAAATCGCTAACTCTCTCCCTAAAAGGGTAGTTTTAAAAAATGGTTTTAAGTCAGTTACTTATTCCTATCTTTTGCTGTAGTGTGTCAGTAGGAAATATCAGTTTAATTGTAATAATCCAGTGAGATTTGTGTCTGACAACATCTGACAATCTCACTGGATTATTACAATTAATGGCAAAATGAATGTTTGGAAATGTAAACTGATATTTCCTACTGACACACTACAGCAAAAGATAGAAATAACTGACTTAAAACCATGTTTTAGCCGGTGCACGAGTGAAGATGCTAGTGTTCTAATCATTTTGGCCACCACTGTAACTGCAACAGCAGGCTTGTGTTGTGCTTTCACATTCTCACTATTGTGTTACATGGTGTGAAATATGCAATGAAAATTAATCATTTCAATGCACGACCTCTTTAAATGCTTCATACTGCCATTTGCCTAGAGAGTGCAAAAGATGTGCTTAAGCAGAGTATTGTGGTGATCAGTACTCACTGCTGGAGGAGGAAGACATACGGCGCTGGGCAGGGGCCGGTGCGGTGGTGCTGGGTGGAGGAGGAGGAGGGGGCAGCTCTGATGGAAGAGGTGGAGGAGGAGGTGGAGTCGGGATGAAGGTGCTGGCGGGTGGGGGAGGAGGTGGAGGAGGAAGGGGTAGATCCTCTGTGTTTCCCGTCCCGTTCTCAGGAGCAGGCGCTTTGTCTGCTGCTTCCTCCAACAGTGCAGAACCCTGTCGAGAGAACAGGTAAGAGTGCAGCAGATTTCGATGTTGAAATATTTACTACTGGTTTTCTAACAGATGACCCAACAATGAAAATGCTCACATCATGCAATCCTGGATGCTTATGACTTTCTTTCTTCTGATAAACAGCAATTGTACAAAAAGAACCTCTCTGTGAGTCCACATATTGCAAGTGAAAAACACATACAGCCATGACAGTGTGACAATAATATGACCCCAGTAGATGAATCAATGTTTTTTTAGAGTGAAACAAGAAGTGTGTGTAAGAAAAACACAAATATTATAAACTTCGAATATACTTTTCCACTATAAATCATCAATTCAGACGAACTGTCGTAGTCACATTTATGTCAAGCTTCATAACATGCTTACATTTACATCAAACACACACTAGATCCTCTCTTGAATGTGCATATGAAGTATGTCCGGAAGCAATTAATTTTTTTATACACACCCATAATTTCGCTTCCGAAGACACTGATTCATCGCCTGCGGTTGTCCTGATGTCTGTGTGTGCTTTCTGAAGCACCAACATTCTGGTGCCCATTCACTTGCATTATATATGGATGCACAGATATATATTATTTAGCTAAATTTCATTTCTAACGGGACGACAACAGCAAGTGAAAATTAATTCAACTTTCTCTGATATATTGGTCACAAATGTTGGAGCTCCTCAAGGCTGCGTAAGTTCCCCCCTTCTTTTTACACTATATACGAATGATTGCAGGAATCGGTACATAAACAACTACATTATTAAAATTCCAGATGATACAGCTATACTTAGTTTGCTGACAAATAATTCAGATGTCGGCATGTATAAATCAGAGATAGAAGGGGTTGTGCAGTGGTGTGAGGAACACAACTAGGATTGTGTAGGAATTATATATGTTTTGGAATGGTGTATTTTTTTTTTTTTGTATGTTTGATCTGCTCTCCCGGTTGCCTAAGACAAATTTCTCCTAAGGGAGACAATAAAAGAGAAACTTAAACTTAAATTTAAAAATCACATTTTGGACACTAAAATGGTCATAGGCAGAATAACATTACAAATACACTTCCCCAAAACACTTAATCTGACCAACATGCCACCCACTGCGCCCCACCATATGCATTGCAGCTGGTAATGTTTTAATGTAAAAAGCCTGAACTAGTCTTTTCTTGTAATACATATTCCCACTCTTTTATTTGCAACTTAAGTAGATTGTAGAAACTTTTGGCACCAGTGGCCTCTATCATCTTCTTACAGTATAGGCTTATGATGTTTTTGAGAAACATGAGTATGACTTTCTTTCTTGCATGGAACACAGAGGTTTAGTAGAATGTCCTAGCTGCTATTTTCCAAATAATATAAATATACAGGGACCAGGAATGTATGTGGTCACCATTCACTTTTTAAAGGGAAAACAGCAGCTTGGACATTTTTCTAGATAACTCCATTTGTGTTCCATGGAAGAAAGTAAGTCATAAAGGTTTGATATAATGGGGTTGAGTACAGTATGGCAGAATTTGGTAACACTTAAGTACAGGGACCAATTCTCACTATTGACTATTTTATTATTAACATATTGACTGTTTATTAGTACTTATAAAGCACATATTCTGCATGACCATATTCTACATCCCTAATCCTACCCAATACCAGCAAATAGCAGCAAATTAGGAGTTTATTGAGGCAAAAGTCGTAGTTAATGGTTTGTTAATGGCGAGAATTGGACCTTAAAATAAAGTGTGACCCAGAATTTTCATTTTTGTGTGAACCACTCTTATAAAAAAAAGGAAAACCAAATTTGTTATCCAATTAATCATTGTCGTCTAGAAGAAAAAAAAATGCTATGTTAAAAAGATATTCTTTCCCAAAGTATTCTGTCCTATGAGTCAAACTGCAGTTATAATAAGATAACTCTTATTATAAGAGTAAATGGACAGTTCAAACACAATACTGCTAGGTCCCAGCCGTCAGACTTACATAACACAACAAAGAAAAGACTGAGCACTGTTTACCCAGCAGCCCAATAAATGCTGAACTGCAGTGCTAACAAGGCTGCCACACCTTGCATGGATTTGTGTTGTAATGTGACAGGTGAGGGAGTGAAGCTAGCTTGATTCAGACTGAAGAGAGCTGGCTGTCCCGGAAACAACTGCTTTCTGTTTGGCAACCATACTATTGATGGTCCCCATTGACTCCCATATTATGAAAAAAAAATACTGTGGAAGTCAATTGGGACCATTAATTGTTTGGTTACCCACATTCTTCAAATTTTCTTTTATGT